ATACATACATACATACATACATACATACATACATACATACATACATAAATGAAGATATGTCAGTCTTAATGCTGGTGCAGACACTCAGACAAAGCCACACACCTGTCCATCCTCAGAGTAGTCCACGGTCACGGAGGCGTTGCTTTCTGGGGGATTGTACATGTTTCTGTAGTATCCCATGGATCTGATGGTCTGCATCGTGTGTCGAGCCACGCTGGGCATGGTCACTGCCGACAGACGGTTCCTCGAATCGTAGTCAAAGATGTACTGATGTTGACTGTGCAGCAGCAGCACCATGGACTGTTAAAGAGGAAGGAAGAAAAACATCCAAACACGTCACACACCCATGGAAGCAGTTAAAGGCATAGATCAGAGGGGGGATACATTTGTTCAGTTACAGGAATTTTCCACTATATGCAGACATTGACCTTTGAATTTCTATAAAATTATTCTAAAACTTTATTGAAAACAGGAACAGCAACTTAAATTAACAAGACAATGACAAATGCAGGCTGATTATCAAATCTATTTTTCACTTTAAAGTGAGTCAGCTCAGTGGAGTTCAACATTCTCAGGGCAGTAAACTTTTCAGGCTCTGCTCCACCCTGTGGCTACAAAAAGCATTGCAACTGTTTTGTGCAAAGAGTTCTAAGGAGAGTCATCAGGCAGAGCATCACTGCTGGTTTTGTTACTACTGTACAGCAGTGGAGTGAGAAAGGCCCTGGAGGGAATTGTCGTTGAACTAGATCTGAAATGGAAACTGGCACAGATGTCATTCTGAAATCAGCTTCTTCATTTCTGTTTTTATCATTTACTTTTATGACAGGCATGGTAATATGTGACAGGTCTTATAAATGATAATTTTCTTTTTGTTGACTGCTGACCAAATGATGTAAGCAAAAATGTTCAAACACACAAAAGGGAAAATAATCAGTTTTTTCGGGGGAATCACTGGAACATATCAATAACATATTTGAATGGTGGAGGGGGGCAAAAAAGCAGAATTGAAGTGTTCCAATGCCATTTCATTTTTTTTACTATTAACATTTACTACTAACATTTATTTTTACAGTTTTAGAATTTAGGTTTAGCTTTAAAATCAGAAGCGTTAACAACTATTTATGCTGTAGAAATACTTATTCATGAACTATTTCTTAATTGGTACCAGCAGAGTCTTAAGGGTGCTCAAACAACCAGTTCCTGGAACAAATTCCTATTCTTATCATAAATTTGTCCCAAAATATAAAAAGCCATACTCTTCTTGAAAACTACATATACTACTGGGCTGTAATTTCTTGAATTCTTTGATACAGTCGGTCAATATTGAAAAGTGGTTCTGTCTGTTGGTCATCATGACAATTTAAACGTGGCTATATCTGGGACATTATTAAATAATTTACATCAGAAAATAAACAGCATCTTTTCAATCTTTTCCAGCTTGAACAAATGTCTCTGATTCTCTCAATACTTCTTGCCAGATCCAATATATACGCTCTAGATTTGACATGCAGCACTTTTTATTGACAAAATAAGGCCACCCGAAGCGATGTTAAGCATGTACTATGTTCAGTATGCATTATTTAGCTCTTTGTATACGCTAAATTCAAAACATTTATGAAGACCAAGTTAATCTTTAAGAAAAGAGTGCATGTTTGAAAAGGCCGTGCCGTCTTCTACCTTATCCAGGTAAGTGTAGCTCCATATCTTTCCGTCAGCAAAGACCCTAGAAATGATTCTTCCTTGATTGTCATACTCCCACTTCTCTGTAGTTGGACCCCTCTGGAGGCCTGTCACCTGCCCCGTGCTGCATAAACAGATGCAATCATATTTTATTTTGACTTTTTTCCCCCGAGAAATTTTTGAGGTTCACGGTAAATTGGCAACCTACCTGGAATACGTCAGGTTAACCGATAGCAGTTTGCTGCTGGGAACCCAAAGCGTTGGATGGCCTTGGGTGTCATAAATGATCTTAAGCAAGAACTTCCTGTGGTCATCATAGATTTTCTCTGTCCGCATTGTGCGGTCATAATCCACGGAGAGTAAATTCCGTCCGTTTACCTGAAAATGAGAGGACACAAAGCAACACAGATATTAATTTTAAAAATACTCTGTTTCTCCAAAATTAGCTACGAGTCAAGAACATTAGATGGTTAGTGTTAGGCCCCAGCCTTTTACCCCCATCCCAGGGTAAAAAGCATAAATAACCAAGTACCCAGGTACCCTTACAGTGTCATTGTGCGATATTTAATGCATACATTGTGTAACTGAGCAGAACGATCTGTAGTTTCTATGATTCCTCGAGGTGACCTAGACAATTCATCCCTCAGAGAGACATCCTACTTTTAAGTATAGACCTAAAATGTTTCTTTTTGATCAAACATATTCTCATTTATTCCTCACTTATGCTACCAGAGGCCCAGAGCGTGGAGGGATTTTCCATTTTTCTGCTGTTTCCTGTCCAATCCTGCTCTATCCAGTCCAATCTTTTCATGCACTCGCGTACTAGAGAGGCAATTAAACGCCCCCAAGAATATATGGCAGCCTGGCTTATATTGGTTTAGATGACTCTTAATTGTCATGTATTCAGTACAAATGAATTAATCATTAGACCAAATAATTCCCATGCAGGAGTTTTTTTTTTGGAAAGTTTCCAGCTTTATCAATAGTCACAGACTTTGAATTACACAATAGATGAGATGCATATGGAGTGGGCTTTTGGTTCTGCATAGAGCTGCCAACGCATATTAGACTTGGATAAATAGATAGAATGTATGTGAATAGAATAGAATAATTGCCTTAACTGTTGGCCCATATCACAGGAAATAAAATCGTCCATTCTAGTTTTTTTTTTTTTTTTTTTTACAATTCAAAACAATTTTCTTTCCACCGCACTCACCCTAAGCTTCCTCCCAAAAACGGTGACTTTTCCTCGTGTCTGCTCCTTCCTGAACCTCCACTCCACGAGGTTCTGACCGTTTTCTCCAGGCAGGGTCATGTTGCGTCGGGCAACAGTGGGATTGGCAGCACCTAAAATAAAATGGATGCAAAGGAATGACATGAAACCCAACGGTAATTTACTTAGGGAGAATCTAAAGAGGGATTTAGAAATAGATATGGAAGATTTATGCTCCCTCCACATGTATGTCTTTGTGGGACAACCTCCATCCAATGTGAACACGAGTTTACGGTGGATGGAACTCTAATCACGAATGGATTGATCCTTCAATTTTACAGAGCTAAATATTAAGATTTCTTTATTAATTCATTTTCCTAAAGACTGCTCATATCTTGCACATATTGTCAATTAAACTGGACTAAACTGGAACATGTTCAGCAGAGGAGTAAACGTAACAGGAAATTCTTTCTCTCTTTGGTAATCACATTTAATAGCTCCAATCTCTGATGGTCTAACATTTAACTGGCGTTGCAGTAATTAATTATGGATGTTATAATAACCACAAGGAGATTTCCGTAGTATTTATGTGATTTGTTTTTACTATTTTAACACTGAGGTTTTATATTTTCTTCACATAGTTATCTATGGATTTTTTAAAATACTTTTAACACTTTTTTATCAATCACTGTATTGTATAAATATATTGTTTTTCAGTATGAACATCCATTTAGATTATTTATGAGTTTAAAGATCAAAATTAATTATGCTCTTACTGTAAACTGTATGCTGAATGTATGCAATATTAAAAACAAAATGAAACATTTCACATTCAAAACATGAAAAAAAACACCTTGGAATATAAAGGGACGGATGTGCCAATGGCAAAATATGAGATTATTAAAAAGGCATACAACTAAGTTAACAACAAAAAATTAACTAGTAATGAACAACTGACAGCGCTGTGATTAATTAAAAAAAAATTCTAATTAGGGGTTGCACATAAAATTGCAAAAAAGACGAGAGAACCATTCAGAAAAAGGGAAAAATATGTGAAACAAATGGTTTGAGTAAAAGACTTTCGGCATATCTTATGTGTCCTCTCCCTGACATAAATCTACTATACAAATAAAGATAGAGCAATTCAGCTTCTGATTTAAATCAATATGATAACATACCTGCCAGTATATGGGGCTCCGTTTGGTAGTGTGTGTCCATCCCATTGGCATAGATGACCCTGAGCGAACGGTCATTACCAACTTGGTAGCTGTTACGAAGCTGGTCTGTATCAGAGGGCAGAGAAACAGTTACCATGATTCAACTACGTCACACAATTCAAGGCATTTATTCAAAAGCTGACCTGAACTGAGGGGGGAGCATAGGAAAAGAGACAGGGAATGGGGAAAGTAGAAAAATACAGGAGAAAGTAAGGCGTAAAGCAGCTTCTGAAAGTCGTTTTTAAACCCGTTAATGGAGCATAGAGCCAGTACCACAACCCATTCATCCATTTTCTATATACACATGATCAATTTCAGGCTTGGGCTGATGTACAGACATGGAATTTGCTCCATTTTTAAACAGTCATGTATCAGTTTATACAATATCACAGAACTGGGTTTTACAAGGACTTTTATGTTGACAAAAAAACTACATAAAAATACCTAAACATCTGATACCATAATTTCTCAGAAACATTCTGGATTCCAATCATTATTTTGTAGCTCAAATTGTAATATCGTATCATTGATTGAGAACAATTAACAAATCTGTATTTCTTAGCCCAAAAAGATAAAATATTAGAAGGACAAATTTAATATTTTGGGTGACAAAATAAATAATCTGGGGAAAAAAATCTAAATTACAGAGCTAAATTAACTATATTCATGGTAATAGAGAGTGGGTGGGCCAATCTTCATACTGGTTTGGCACTAAAAAGCCATACTGCAAAGGCAAAACTGAAGGTTCTGAATTATAATTTATAGCACCTTTGTCTCATTATAATTTCCATGTGAAAGGTTTATTGTGAGTCTGGAGGTTATAATTAGTCCATATAGGGGATTATTCAGGGATTCTAAAGGACCTTCCCATTCAATTTTCAGGGTCATGACAAATTTTCAATTAGTTATGAATAACACAATTATACCTTGTTGATTGTCTCTTTGAGAATCCAGAAAACAAACCCTATTCCAAACAGTGATAAAAGAAAAACTGTTACTCTAGGCCATCCAAACTCTTAGAGATATAAGAGATAAACCAAAAATACTGCATACAGTTTTGTTAGGGAGAAGCCCTCTTTGTTTTTTCACGGCTCCATTGAATTAAGATTCCAGGATGTTTATTGTTACAGGAAAAAAGAAATTAGCCGATTGAGATACTGGAGGCCTTTTTTTTTAGGGTAGATGATTTCAACAGAAGCAATTTGGGCTTGCACTGCTTGATGAAACAGTGCCAGTTTTTGCAAGTGAGTTCAGTTGTGGGGTTTCCAGCTTAGACTGAGCCAGATAGGCCTATCATAACCTCAAAGCGAGAAAGACACACGGCAACCGGTAACCGTAGTGTGTTAGTTCTTAATTCATGCCTCTCATCTTGAAACAAAATGCTGAAGTCTGGACGTGATGTTTATGAGTTAAAGGAAAAGATTTCCGCAGCAGGTGGTGCAGAATCAGTGGATTTACAGCGGATGATCCTGCAGAAACCTGGCATTCTCTGTGGGGGACTTGCAAAGACAACTTGGCAGGTAACTTTAAAAAATGTTACTGGGTGGAGGATGAAAGGTTTTAGACCCAGATATTGCATCTTTTTCTGCATATTAGCCTTCTCTTCCCAGCATTTGGTCTTTTCCATACAGCATTGCAAAAGAGAGAGGAAACTGTGGATGGGTGTAATGGGGTAAGTCCCGCTGGCTCCTTTGAGGATAGCTTGCTGATCTTCATACTTTAGTAGCTCGGCAATGGCACATGGTTGAGTGGGATTCTGTTCTCTGGAATATACTCTGTCCTTGTGGACTATTTTCACAGCTATTTCTTGGTCCTTCAGTAGAGGAGAATATAGTCGGCTTCTGTCCTCTAAATGTATGAATCTATTCGGATTTTCTTTGCCATCATGTTGACCTTATGTGTGTTAAACCACTCAGCTGCCTGTGTGAATGACTGAGGTTCGGTTATACAGCCAGATCTTTTAATTGAGCTCCTTTTGACTAAATCAGTTAGCTCTTTAGTGATGTCCTGCTTGATACAGATGGTGTCAATTTGTGGGGTTAGTAAGTAGTCAAATGTGTCTTTTTCCAGTGATGTTCCACTCCAACTGCTATGGTCGAGCACCGATTGTGTTTACTCGGGGTTCCCTTCCTTTGTGTTTAAATAGTCTGCGTTTCTCCTCGTCTTGTGCCAGTGAGTTTCGTCCTTTGACCTAAACTGAGCCTTTAGCCTTGTCTTCATAGTTTTTCCTCGTCCAAGTGAGTCAATTTTGCACTTTGTAGCCTTTGCATCCTCGTTATCGAGCGTTATTCATTTGTACTTTGTCCACAGTTTTGTTCTATCTCGCAAGAGAGGTTATTGTTTGATACTTTGTTCTTAGCTTTGTCTGCCTCGTTTCTAGAGTGATTATTATTTTGCACTTTTCATAGCCTCTGCTTCCACTCAGTGACTGTGAATTTTTGTTAAAGAGTTAACAAAGTTCCCATTTCTGACTGTTTCTTGGGATCTTTCATGATCTCCTCAAAGAAATATTGCATGCACTGAAACCACTCAAATGCTTATAGACTAAGTGAAATTGTTTAGAAAAATAAAGGATTCAAAAGTAGAGGAGCTCCCTTTTAGGGTTGTATTGCTATCACTTTTTCCAGGCAATTCTGGAGCTTTGAAAAGGTCAGTTAGCCGCTCCTGCAGGTTCAAACTTTCCTGTTGCCATGGTAATGCATCATAACCGATGCCAAAAAAAAAAGAAGAAGCCCACAGACGTCCATCCAGCGGTGCAGGAGTCCAAACCAGCACAGAACAATGTTTCAGAATTCTGTGTTTTCATAGGAAGAAGAAAATCTCAAGATGATTAAAAGAGATTCACAGTATGTCCAGAGCTACTGCAATAGGCTCCCTGCCATTTATTAGGACTACAACTTTATAAAAAATCTCTTGCAAAGTTTGTTCCAGTGTCTTAATCCTCTGCACACCCCCCCCCACACACACACACACATGCATTTGTAATTACCATACCTTGCACCAGAGTATAGAAAGAGTCTATTGATGATAAATTGGTTGTTATGGAAACATCCTCATCCCTTCCTGACGTCTCGATGTCCACTGCCACGGCTCCTGATGACATGTCACCATGGAGATTGGTCACAACACCAGTGGGGAAGGTCACATTAGTCAGACGACCCTCGCTGTCATAGCTGCAAGGAAAATAAGAATGCAGGCATGTTATGGGACATTACTTTTCATTACTGTAATACCCTTTATATGCACTTAAATGTGCATAAACATTCATACACACAGATGCACACACATAGAAATTTGATTAAACAATGTCAGTCTTAAAAAATTCAATGCTATTGTACCAGAGGAGTTTGAAATAAATTTCAAAATGCTTTAAAAGAAGTTGGATAAATTAGAAAAACAGTTTGGAACACATGATTAAATGTCTTCCGATCCAATATCACAGAGCTTTATGTATTACAAACATGCATTTAAATATGGAGAGTATGATTCTGCTCACTCATAGAATGTAGTCCAGCCAATCTGGATGCTCTTTGTGGCCAGCAATCCACTGTTGCCATGGTACGTGAATAAAACCAACTCCTGACCTTGAGCTGTGAGAGTCTTTAGACCTCCATTAGTTCCAATGGTCAGCCAGATTACCTGTATATACAAAACAAACCAAAATCAGTTAATAAAAAGAAGACAAAAAAGAAAAATAATAAAGAAAACAACAGACAATGAGGATTGGTGTTGACTTCTTTGGGTTTACGCAGTATTTTTTTTTAATCAGAATAGTCTGGCATTATATTAAAATGCATTTGTTAAACTTAATTTGTGCGACTTGGGAAAAACCTTGCTGATCTCACCTGATTGTCAGGAGCAACCACACGCACAGGCATCCTGTTGGTGTCTCTACGGATACGAAGAGTATTCCCGCTGCTATCTGTCACGGCAGTGACGTCCTCCTCATTGCTAAGGGTGAGGGAATGTGAGGAGGAAAATGGCAATGTCAAAGTTAGATGAAGCTTTAAGACTCGACACACACACATAGTAATACATATAGTTTTATATGTAGTTTTAAAAGGTACAATGATTAAGAAAAAAGAAAGCTAATCACTAGTAAATTCTTTTTAAAACAAACCAACCTGTAGCTGAAGTTATACTTAAAGTCTCCAGTAACCAGAGACATGGTGAACTGGTGGGTACCATTCAAATCAAACACATAGAGTTCTTGAGAAACCGGAGATGCCACTTCATAAGAGCTGGGACCTGAAGCCAAAGAGCCTGAAGATAGACAGATGAAGAGACTCTGACTCAAGGGTGACTTAATCATATCATGCATGCACCATCACAGTATCCATAACTAATAACATTGCACAACATTATCTGTATGTTGAGCTGCTCCTAATTTGGTCCAATCACTGGGATTATTGATGGATTTCTATTGGTCTGGTACACCTGTGTTGAAGGTTTTTACTTAAGAATAGGAAGAGGGAAAGTTTACTCAGAAGCAAAGCTAAATAGCATGTGCTAAATCCACCACATATCTTTGGTAAGAAAGTAAACTCATTATTAAAATAATATTTCATAATCCATTTGCAGTTTTAAATCTGTATAGAGTAATACAAATATCTTTGATGGAAATATTTAGGTATGAGCTCAGGTCTGTTTTCTTATTTTCACAACTATTTTTACAAACCTACATATTTTTGAAACTCAGGTAGCAGTGATAAAGTGGTATTAAAAGCATTTTCTCACCCAGTTTTGATATTTTATAGAATGATATTTGTGTGGATGGCAAGTTTGGTTCAAATAAATAAGAAATAAGGCAACAGACTTAGCCTTTTGGGAACTGAGCTAAATATGCATCCGTGTTTATGATTTTTATTTGAGATGGATATTTAAAAAAAATCTGTTACATAAATCACATATTACATATAATTGGATCATTTTTGATAGGCTGGTATTATAATTGGTTTGACCCGGACCGTATTTAATTAGACTTCAATTTAAGTAGCCTGATTTCTGTGTTAAATGCCTCATTTGACTTTTGTAGTGAGCTGGCAACAAATGTTTTAAATAGACCGGACTGAATTGAATTAGGTATGCACAACCAGGACAATGATAATGAATGTTTGAATATCCTATATACTAAAAAAGGAGAAGTTTTACAGGATTTTTTGCTGTAAGCATCCGGTAACTTACTCGCCAGCTCATTTACAAAACAGTAACATGATTTAGGTGGAAGCGCACAGATTTTTCACTCTAATTTGCTTGCACCTTCCAACCTTACTGGAAACACAGGAGGCCCAAGGCTAGTATAATGTTGTTTGTAGGAGTAAAACCAAAAGTTATTTAACTGGGGGCACAAGAAGAAATAATGTTATTATGTGCTACAGAGCATATTTGAATATGATCATCATATTCCTAAAAGAAACACAATTTTGGTATGTGGTTTTGCAATTTCTGGATCTGAAGAGGTGTCATCGAACAGACTTTGTTATTCAAACTCTGCTCTGTTTCAACTTGCATTTCTGCACTGAAGTGGGAAGTTGAAACCTCTTGGTGCTTGTTTTTGTTGCAATTTACATAAAATGCCACCATCAGTAAAACAGCTGTCTCAGACGGGGTAACAAACAATCTAGTTATGTTCCAAAAGCACATTGATTTATGTTTTATATCTGAAAAAAAGAGTACGAGTTGGGTAGTAGCCATTACAAAAACAAGCAGATACTGTAGTTTACCGGCTGTCCACAGTTCAGCCATTGGCAGGAGCAATGTATGTATCTGAAAATAAAATTGCCAGTCAAGATTTTTTCAGTTTGGTTTGAGGTGTTAGCTGTCAGACCTTTAACTGTATGCTCTCTAATACTATAATAACATGCTCTAAGGGTTATTAAGTACGACAGATGTACAGAAGAGGCAGGACCTGAGGGTGTAAGGGGTAGAGTGAAGTCAAGAGGGTCATTCAACGCCTCTCAGAGAAATTATTTTGAATAGATATATAAATTAATAACCGCTTAAGAGCTGCTAAAGTGCCTCTTTGATTTACTTTGCAAAGCTTATAACAGAAACCAAGACCATAGGAAATTACATCAGATTGTCAAGCACAATTAATAGCTCCGAGAGGTGTTGGACATTTCTAGTTTAAATAGCTGTTGCGGTGAGAACTAGAGAAAACTGAAGGCCAGAAGGTACGAGGCAAGCTGCGATATGAGTCAAGACCTGAGAAGAATGGTATATTAAAGATAAAAGGTATCTTTTGGTATCTCACTTGCCTAAGCGCTTTTGGAAATGTCTTATTAAAAGGCAGCCATCAATATTTTATGTAGCTTTGTATGTCGTCATATGATTAAAAATACCATCAAGGTATCAAAAATGCAGTTTTAGCACCACAAGTTTAATGTTTAAATTGATTTCACAAACATGACCCGACTGCTTTATACACTCTTATTAAACTTTTACCAGCAAGTCTAATGACAACTGCTACCTCTTGGGAGGCAAGTCTGTAAGCTATAAAGAAATAAAGACAAAATTTGCCCTCTATTGATTTTGACAGGTCCAGGGAGTCTGCCCCATACAGCAGAACTGAGAATGAGCTGCCCGTTGTGGACAGGTCAAGTCAGAGACAGAGAGCTGTACATAGGTAGATGTACTGTATATCCATATGTATATAACGAGTATATCTGCCAGTGGTGCTGATACATACCAAAAGGTGGTTGGTTGCGTCGTATGGCTCGAATCCGAATATTTCCCAGATCGGCCACATACAGTGTCCCATCCGGAGACACCACCAAAGAGGAAGGACAGTTTAGCCGGGCGTCTTTAGCATAGCCATCTCCTGTTTGATAGCAGTCGCAATTGGCGTCATTCTGCAGAATAATGCAGAAAAGAAGTGAGAAGCACAGAACAATGTCATACTTTTTTTTTTTAAATCAGTCGATCTGTTACATCATCGTATTTAGTTGTTGCTGTAATGCTTTTATTCTGAATGTACATGAATAAGGTGAACCAAAGCACAACACAGTTAGGGTTTGGGACAACAGTACCTTGCAGTCACATTCAGACAGTGTTCCAGCTAAATGGGTAATTTCTCCGTCCGTTGAAACCTACAGAAATATAAGTATTTAATAAAACACGTCAGCTTAAAACACTTGCTTTGATTAATTGGCTAATATCCCTGCCTTTGCATGTCAGAGTAATGTTTCGACAGAATTTATGCTTTTTGGTTTAAAGTCCTTTTGTTAGAAAAAGCAAATCTTCCTAAGATGTCTGGTCTAAATATAGGTTCATGTTAAATGTCTTAGCACCTAGAAAAATACACACCCTCTCACAGAGGTGTGAGCAACTTCCTGTCACAATTTTTTTTAATTTTGTGCATCTTTCCCCAACGTTTTATTGTCAAGAATTGTACAAATTACATTAATTAATATGAATATGTTTTGTCCCTATAATAATTTATATTATATTATATTATATTATATTATATTATATTATATTATATTATATTATATTATATTATATTATATTATATTATATTATATTAT